AATCAAAAGTGACTAGTCAAATATGCCAGGCAATCGCATGATTACGCGATCCTTCATGGCAACTGCTTCCTAGCTTATGCGTGTCAGAATGTGTTATTGTCTAGTCTGCAGTGGAGTACTCTATAGCGAGTCCAACCCAAATAAAGGTTTGCTATATGTATCCTATCTGCTGCAATTGAAAACCCTCTTTCCTGTTTGACATTCCTCGTTCATTCTTCTGACATGCTATCAGAGCGAGATCGCTCATGGTCTGTGGGCCCACCTGCTTACGCTGCAGTCCTCTCAGTAGAGCTGCATTGTGAGATCCCATATTGATCCTTGGGGGGTTACAGGCATGTTAGCCTAGGGGGTTATGGGCGCACTGACCCGCTACTGAAACAAGCCCTTTTATCCCAATGGTCTAGTGGTTGGGATTTCTGACATGGTATCAGAGCGGTCTCGAGTTCGAATCCCGGTGTATGCACATGCAGGTCGTTGCCGCTGTGCTCAGTCCTAGGTCTCCTAGTGTGGGGGGGTGTCAGTAGAGCTGCACTGTGAGATCCCCGATTGATCCTTGGGGGGTTACAGGCATGTTAGCCTGGGGGGTTATGGGCGCACTGACCCGCTACTAAAACAAGCCCTTTTATCCCAATGGTCTAGTGGTTGGGATTCTGACATGTCCTACCTATCGCGAGCCTCGGGCGCGCGACGTCTTCTGCCTGCCGTGCACCCTGGGCGCGCGGCAGTTTTCTACCCACCACGCGCTCGGGGCGCATGGCGGTTTCCTGCCCGCCGCGCGCCCCGGGAGCGCGGGGCGGTTTCGTCGCCCGTCGTGGCGCCCCGGGGGCCCGTGCGCAGTCCCCTCCCGTCGCCCGTCGTGACGCCCTGGGGGCCTGCGCGTCGCCCCCCACTCACGTCGCTCGCCGCGGCGCCCTGGGGGCCCGCGCGTCGCCCCCCTCCTGTCGCCCGTCGTGGCGCCCCGAGGGCCTGCGCGTCGCCCCATCCTGTCGCCCGTCGTGGCGCCCTGGGGGCCCGCGCGTCGCCCTCTCCCGTCGCCCGTCGAGGCGCCCCTAGGGCCCGCGCGTCGCCCCCTCCCGTCGCCCATCGTGGCGCCCCGGGGGCCCGCGCGTCGCCCCCTACTGTCGCCCGTCGAGGCGCCCCATGGACCAGCGCGCCGACCCGCTTCCGCTCGCCCGCTGCCCCAGATGCTGCCCGCGTATCTGCCCCGCGCCGCGCACGCGCCGCCTGCGTTGGGAGTATGGGGGTGGCGGGTGTGTGAGCCGTCCCCTGCTCCTCCTCCTCCTCCGTCTCCCACTACTGCAGCTGCCGCTGAGGGGGGTGGGTGTGTGGGAGCCGAAGGAGTGGCGCTAGGGGGGTGTCATGGGAGTGGAGCTAGGGGTGCAGCAGGGGGTGTGTGAAAGGGGTGTGAGACAGTTGGGGGAGGTTGAGCGGAGGTAGCCGTCGTGACGTCAGCAGCGCCAGTAGTCCGGGGCCCTTGCTACGGTAGCCCAGCGAGTCTGCTGCGTCAGTCGCCCGTGGGTCCGTTGCTCCTGCCGCTCGTTTTAGCCGCGGAGCCAGTTATTCCTGTAGTCCGGGGCCCTTGCTCCGGTAGCCACCGTGTGCACCGCTCCTGTTGCCTGTGTGTCTGCGGCTTCACTCGTCGCCTCCTATCTCCACTCCTCTCACAGTCCCTCCTCCTCCTCACTTGCCCTCTGTGACTGCCTCTAGCTTTGCTTGTGATTGTGAACTTCTTATGCGACTGCTTGCTATGCTGATTATACCCCACTTTGCCTATGGGGGTGTGTCAGAATGTGTTACCGTATTCTTCCGGATAAAACACCCTAGGGTATTATGAAAACCACCGGAAAAAAATGGGGGGGGTCTCCTCAACGGAAAATCCTGTATAATACCCGGGTCTTATTATATTGTATATTTTTTATGAAGCAGAAATGATGTGAAACAAAATGTGGGGTGTCACTTCACTTCTAGATTGTTGATCAGTACCGCAAAACCGAGTATACGAGGATTACGTGACCGCCCACTGGAATCTGCCACATGGCAAATTTCAGTGGGCAACTCTGGCACCTGATAGGGTACCGGTAAAAACATAGCCAACCTTGCGTAGCGAGAGTTCATGCAACCGCCGAGGCCGGAATCGCACACGGTGTTGCGTTGCCCTTGCAGCAGTCATGTCTTGACTGGTTTGGGCACGTCCCTGTGCCTCAAAGGTTCTCTCACCTTCTCTTTGTGCAGCGGTTCCAGTGCACGATACTGAAGAGTGCTCGGCAGGCTGTGAGAGCGCCATAGTCCTGCACTCAAGCATCTTTGTTTTTACCGTAGCCATTTCTGCCATGGCGAGTGACACTAACCTGCAGTAGACTAGAATGGCTTTCTCACCCGATTCAAGCAGTACGGTAGTTAGGCGGCAGTGGCCTTTTAACTCTCAGTCTGCCGCTGCTGCACGCCCATGGACGTCGCCTCGCCCCGTCTTGCCCCAGCCGTCTCCTCCTGGTAGTGCTTCTACCAGGGATGAACCGAGCAGTAGCTCTGAAGCCCCTCGCCCTCCCCTTCCATGAGTGGCTGTCCCCACCTTCCCGGAGAGTAAGCGCCCGCAGGGACAGACGAAACGCAACGCGGATGGTGAGACACCATCCCTTCGCCATCGTATGACGAAGAAGGTGCGTCACGGGATCACTGTGAAGGAAAAGCTGCACTGGCTGAAGATGCAAGACGCTCAGCCCGATCTTGGGAATCGCGCCCTGGCGAAGCTCGCGAAGGTGCAGCCCTGCCAGATCCGCGACTGGAAGAAGCTGAGGGAACGGCTGGAGGTCGCATCTAGCTGCCGCCGTCGCCTCGTGGGTTCCGGCCGCAAGGCGAAGTACCCGTTCATGGAACGGGCGGTCTACCGCCATTTCCTTTCCCACCGGGCGAAGGGCCTCGCCGTCTCGGTCCGCATGCTCCAGCAGTGGAGCTCCAAGTACATGAAGCACCGGATGCCGTCGGTCAATTGGCGCGCTTCGTTCCGCTGGGCGACACGTATCCGCGCACGCTGGCACTTGGCGAGGCGGGTGAAGACGAAGATGGGGCAGAGGTTGGCCGCCGGTAAGTTATTGTTTAGTATGCTTTTGTTTTTTCCACGAAGTTGATCTAATGCTTGCCGTGGCACTGTCTGCAGACTGCAAGGAGAAGGTGGAGTCGTTCTAGGAGTTTCTGCGCCAGATGCGCACTGTGCAGGACTACCCGCTCGACCTCATCGTGAACGCGGACCAGACTCCGCTCTTCCTGGAGATGCCGGCGGAGCGCACAATTGAAATGAAGGGAGCGCGTACGGTACACGTACGCAGTGCAGGATACGAGAAGGAACGTGTCACTGTCATGCTGGCAGTGACGGCGGGTGGCCTCAAGCTTCCTCCCTACGTCGTGTTCAAGCGAAAGACTATCCCGAAAGTGCCTAATTCTGCCGGTAAGTGAAAGATGTTTACGGTTTGACCCGTGCTCTTGCCTGTCACGTGTCCTGACCCACTATCGCGTTGTGATTGGCAGGCGTGGTGGTCTGTGCACAAGAGAAGGGGTGGATGGACGAATCTCTTGTGCAGGACTGGATCACCCAGGTGCTGGTGCCGTTTCTGAGGCCCCTGCGGGAAAGCTCCGGACGCCGCAGGGAGGCCTTGGTGGTGCTCGACTCCTACCGCGGCCACTTGACGGAGTCCGTCGGTCAGACAATGCGAATGTTCAGGTTGTCAAGGGCGGTCATCCCAGGGGGCTGCACACCGCTTGTGCAGCCTCTGGATGTGTCGGTGAACCGCGCGTTCAAGTGCGGGGTGCGTTCCCGCTACAGCGGATGGTTCGAAGAAGACGGCATCAACCTGACCACTCGCGCAGGTGAGTTCAAGTCATGAAAACCCGTTACGTAACTTTCGTTTACGTGACAGAGCACGCTTTGCCGATACACTGTCCTAATTCTCATTCTCACCCCTACCCACAGGTAACGTGAAGAAGCCGCCTGCGGACTTGGTTCTCCGCTGGATCGACGAGTCCTGGGAAGCTGTCCCAGAGGAGCTTGTGAAGAAATCTTTCGTCACCACCGGGATCTCCGCCAAGATTGATGGCACTGAAGACCACCTCATCCTTGCCCACATGCGGGACAAGGGTGAGGTGGAGGTCCTTGACGACGTCAACGACCTCGTCGACGACGAGGTCGTCGTCAACCCGTTCTACGCCGAGGCCCCCGTGCCGCCCGAGGAGCTGCAGGCGGCAGAGGAGGATGACGCCGCAGAGGAGGCAGCGGAGGCGGTAGAGGAGGAGTGGAACGCGCATGAAGAAGGTGGTGAGGCAGGAGAGTGCAACGATGACGATGATGACTGGTGGCGCCCTGGCCGCTACGACGGAGAGGAGTGTGAAGAGTGGAACGCAGGGGCCGATGTGGAGGAGGAGTAGGCAGGACAAGGAGAAGCACCATAGAGCAAAGACAGAGTTAGGAAGTGATGTTAGTGCTGTTTCTGAGTAAATGATGGGTGTAGGTGCTATTTGCCATACTTTCGTAGTAGAATGTACCCCTAACTGTGTGAAATTTAATGAATTTGCATTTTTTCCCGCGCATAACACCCACCCCCCGGGTCTTATAGAGAATCACCCCAAAAGGGGGGGTATAGTACTAACGGGGTCGGATATAACACCCACCCCGTATTAGCTACCCGGGGGTGTACAATTATGGGGGGGTGTTTTATCCGGGAGAATACGGTATTGTCTAGTCTGCAGTGGGGTACTCCATAGCGAGTGCAGCCCAAATTAAGGTTTGCTATATGTATCCTATCTGCTGCTATTAAAAACCCTCTTTCCTGTTTGACATTCCTCGTTCATTCTTCTGACAATGCGAAGCTAAATCGTCGATTGATACCATCAATCTAGGCCCATAAAATGCCAACCGAACACTCGGGCCATTTTTTCCGAAGTTGCACTACGGCTACAGCCTGATATCGCAGCTGCTTTGAGGGGGCATTTTTTTGGGGCCCGAGGTCAGCATGGTAATTTATCAAGTTATGTGAGGTTGAAATTGTGTTGGCGAAACCTTGAAAACAAGAATTTCGGCAAAGTCAGTGTAGCGAGAAAGATATTGATTGACGAGGGGGAAAGGGGTCTCGCCAAACGTGACGCGATAGTGTGCAGCTTGTCAAACTCTGCGACTGGAAGGAGTGTCGCAAGGATTTCCTCAGCCAATCAGATTCAAGTAGGGGAGAATGTCCACGCACAATGCAACTACCAGCAAAAACGAAAACGGGAAGCACCAACAACCTCCGAACACCCCGATCATCCAAGTAAGCTAACTACTCACGATTGAAATAGCCGAGGAGCTAACAACAATAGAACGTCCGAACGTAATTGACGTCCCAGAACAAGCACATGCGGGGTCGCAGGAAGGGACGTTCAGAAGAGCGCGACATTGCTCGCTGCCCTGGTACTGGCGATAGGCATTAGCAAATAGAAAGTCTGACACCGATTGAGTAGGCTTTCATAGTTGCCGTCACTCATTGCGCCTGTGCGTAAGAGTGTAAGTCCGTTCCCCTATGAGCTGCAGATTTTGTCGCACAGGAGCAAGTCACTGTGCGACAGTGCATCGTGCGACTCGCTGATGCTGTCAGCGAGTTCGTTATCCACTCGCTTCAAATTCCTACTGCGAAGCAGCATACAACCTTCGCGGACGAGCAGGGAGAAGGTTGTATGCTGGCGGCAGGTCGACACGGGGACTGCGGAAGGCGGAGAGGGAGGGGAGAGGCGGAGCACAGACTGCGTCAGTGGGGGAAATCGGTTCTTATCGCGCGATAAGAGAGCTGTCCGCTGGCGCAACTTGTGGCAGACGCAACGCCAGACGGCGGAGGAGAGGAGGAGCAGATACGGGGGTTGGAAGGGGGAAAGGGGGAAAAGGAAAATTGGGGCTTGGCCCGCTTCTCATCGCACTGAGGCGTGCGCAGCTCAAGGACAGAGCGGAATGAGGCTTGTGGTGGGGATGAGGCGCGTGGTGGGGATGAGGCGCGGAAGGGGATGAGGCGCGGACCCCCCTTGCTTCCCCTCCTTTCCCCCCCTTGCTCACCCCTCCTTTTTTCCCATGCTTCCCCTCCTTTTCCCCGTTGCTTCCCCTCCTCTCCCCCTCTGATTCCCCTCCTTCCCCCCCATGCTTCCCCTCCTTTTCCCCCCTGCTTCCCCTCCTTTCCCCCCTTGCTCACCCCTCCTTTCCCCCCTAGCTCACCCCTCCTTTCCCCCCTTGCTCACCCCTCCTTTCCCCCCTTGCTCACCCCTCCTTTCCCCCCCTTCTTCCCCTACTTTCCCCCCCTGCTTCCCTTACTTTCCCCCCCTGCTTCCCCCCATGCTAGCCCCCTGTTCCCTCTCTGCTAGCCCCTCGTTTCCCCCCTGTTAGCCCCCTCTTCCCTCCCTTCTAGCCCCTTCTTCCCTCCCTCGTCCAGTCTCCTCACTTGCTCCCTTCCTCTCTACCGCCCTTCCCCCCTTCCTCTCTGTCCCGCCTTTCCTCCCTTGCCTCCCCTCATTTACTTTACCCCCTTTCTTCCCTTCCTTTTCCCCCCTGCTTCCCCCTCATTTCCCCCCCTGCTTCCCCTCATTCTCCCCCCTGCTGTCCATTATGCTTCCCCCTTGCTTACTCACCTTTCCTCGTGCTCACCATCCTCCCCCCTACTCACCCCTCCTTCCTCTCCAGTTTACCCTCTGTTTCTCCTCTCCTTTCTGGTTTTTGGGCCTTGACAGCACAACAGAAATGACATCCAACCGTCCTGTTCTTGTTCTTGAGTGGTGCTCTTTGCAGCTTGGTCGAACCAAATAAGTAGAGGGGGGCTCCTGCTTGTTTGTGGCATTATTGTGTCGATCAAACGATCCTTTGCATATTACCGTACATCAGTTTATTCAGGACGTTCTGTGCATGCAAAATTTGATACGTAGATAACATCTGGACCTTGCAGTGGTACATTCTTTTGCATCTCTGGATAAAGCATTGTTACATGATGCAACTACGCATAGCATTCAGGTATGCAACTTGTAAAATATGTCCTCTGCTCTAACTTTCTTGTGCTTGCTCCTGCGCCCTTACGCAGCTAAACTCCTCTGAGCCCCAACTACCAGTCCTGCTTGACAAAGGGACGAGAGATGGGAAGACAAGGTGGAAAGGTGGGAAGGCAGGAAACAGAAGGTGAGGCAAGCGAGGCATGCAGGGGGGAAAACCAGGAAAGGAAGAAGGGGAACAGAGTGCAACGACGGGAAATGGAGGGGAATGGAGTGGGCACACACATCGTGATGGGAGACTAGGTTTTCTTCTGGAGAGGGCAAATGGGAAAAGGCAGGAAGGATACCCTCCCCCCCTCCGTCCCTCCCCCCCTCTGTCCCCCTCCTCTGTCCCTTCCCCTCTGTCCTTTCCCCCTCCTTTCCCTCCCCCTCTGTTTTCCCCCACCTCTGGCACTCCCCCCATCGATCCCTCCCCCCCACTGTCCCTCCCCCTGTGTCCCTCCCCTTCTGTCCATTCCCCTCTCTGTCCCTCCCCCCATCTGTCCCTCCCCCCCTGTCTCTCCTCCTCTGTCCCATCCCCTTGGAGAGAATGAGGGAGGAAGTGCAGGTTGGAAAGAGAGAGGGAGAGAAAGGGTGGGAAGGAGAGCGAGTGAGAGGAGTAAGTGCGAGTGGGAGAAAGGGAGAAACGGAGAAAGGGAGAGAAAAAGAGAAATGCTGCACGGAGAGAAAGAGAGGGTTAAGGGGAGGATGGAAGGAGGGATATATGTGGGTTGCACGGAGGGCGGTCTGTGGGGGGGAATGCCGGTGGTGTGTGCGGGGAAAATGGAGGCATGGGATTGTGGAGAGGGAAGGAGCAGGAGCAGGTGGGAGTGGAGACAAAGGGTGTGCCCGAGAGAGGAGGGGTACACGGGTGGGAGAGGAGAGGCACATGGGGAAAGCGATGGCTCACCTGGTGTGTGGCGCTCACCTATCTGTGGATGGGGGTAAACATGGCGGAGGGTGGGGGGAAGCAGGGCAGAGGGAGGGGGAATGCATGGCAGAAGGAGGGGGGAAGCAGGGCGGAGGGAGGGGGGAAGCAAGGCATAGGGAGGGGGGAAAAAGGGAGGAGGGAGGGGGGAAGCAGGGAGGAGGGAGGGGGGAAGTGCGGAGGAGGGAGTGAGGAAGCACGGGGGAGGGATGGGAGAAGCAGGGAGGAGGGAGGGGGGAAGCAGGGAGGAGGGAGGGGGGAAGCAGGGCGGAGGGAGTGGGGAAGCAGGTGAGGCAAAGGAGAATAGATTGGGGGTTAAATAGAGCTGGTGCCCCTCCCCTTCTGTACCTCCCCCTCTCTCCTTCCCCTTCTGTCTCTCCCCCTCGGTCCTTCCCCCTCTGTCTCTCCCCCTCTGTCTTTTCCCCTCCATCTCTCCCCCTCTGTCCTACCCCCTGTTCCTTCCCCATCTGTCTCTCCCCATCTGTACTTCTTCCTATCCCCCTTGTCCTTTCCCCTCTGTCTGAGGGAAGGAAGGAGAGAGATAGAGGGTGGGAAGGAAGGAGAGGGAGAAAGGGAGAGTCGTTATTCGGGAAAGAGCGAGATAGCGAAAGAGGGAGGAAGAGAGGTAGGAGAGGGAGAAAGGCAAGAGAGCGAGAGAGGGAAGAGAGGGAGAGGGAGAGAGGGACAGAGGGAGAAAGGTAGAGAGCAAGGTAGAGAGGGACGGATGGAGAGAGGAAGAGAGGGGAGAGGGAGAGATGGAGGGAGGAATAGAGGGAGGGTGGACGGAATTTACTGGGGGGAATCGTATATGGGGGGGGGGATGAAGGCGGGTATGAAGAAGCGCGCGCGAAAGGGAGAGGCGGGGGCGACGAGGAGAAGCGCGTGGGAAATAAAGAGGCGGGGGCGACAGGAATGTGCGCGCGCCAAATAAAGAGGTGGGGGCGACGAGGAGAAGGCACACCGAAATAAAGAGGCGAGGGCGACGAGAAGCAGCGCGTGCGACGAGGGGTAGGATTGTGTCAAACTTATATGCTATAGTCTGTGTAGGCTGTAGTGGGGTAGACAATATGGGGTACAACACTTTTAGGTTTTCCTACTTGTACCCACCTGTTTGCTAGTGCATTCATTCCTCGTTGTTTCACATGGTATAGAGCAGGTTCCCTAGTGGGAACGTTTCCTAGGGCCCACCGAAAATTGACTTTTTTTTTTCCTGCCCGGAGCGCGCTTTGCCCCTGCCCGAGTCGCGCCCCGTGTGCCTGCCCTCCCGTCGCGTCCCCTGCCCTTAGCGGCCCGTCGCGCTCCCTTACGGCCCCGTAGCGGACCCTCTCTCGGCCCCTCACGGCCCCTTTCACGGCCCTTCGCGGCCCCTTCAAGCCCCTCGCGGCCCCTTCGTGGCCCCTCGCGGCCCCTTCGCGGCCCCGTCGCCGCCCTTCGCGGCCCCGTCGCCGCCCTTCGAGGCCCCTCGCGGCCCCTTTTCGGCCCCGTCGCCGCCCTTCGCGACCCCGTCGCCGCCCGTCTCGGCCCCGTCGCCGCCCTTCGCGGCCCCGTCGCCACCCTTCTCGGCCCCGTCGCCGCCCTTCGCGGCCCTTCTCGGCCCCGTCGCCACCATTCGCGGCCCCTCACGGCCCCTTCGCGGCCCCGTCGCCGTCCTTCGCGGCCCCTTTACGGCCCTTCGTGGCCCCTTCACCGCCCTTGGCGGCCCCTTCTCGGCTCCTCCGCGGCCCCTTCTCGGCTCCTCCGCGGCCCCTTCTCGGCTCCCTCACGGACCTGCCGCCCCGCCGTCGCCGCCCCTGCAGCAGCAGCCAACGCCACTCCAGCAGCGGGAGCCACCACCGCCGGTGCCGCGGACAGCAGGCAGCCGCCGCCGCCACAGCCGGGGCCGCATCCGCCGCCGCAGCCTACAACAGCAGCAGCCGCCGACGGCAGCAGCCGCAGCCGCCACAGCCGGGGCCGCAGCCGCCGCAGCCGCCGCCTGCAACTGCCGTCGCCGTCGACAGCACCGAGCCCGCCGAGCCGCGCCCACCTGCCCACTCTACCCACCTGCCCTGGTAAGAGCACCACCGAGCCGCACCCCTCCTGTTGCTACTGCTGCTACTGCCCCTAGCCTGCTGCCACAACTGTCATGGCTACCCCTAGCGTTCTCGCCTTTGATGCTGAGGGTGTCAGTAGAGCTACACTGTGAGATCCCCGATCGATCCTAGGGGGGGTTACATGCGCGTTTGCTTGGGGGGTTATGGGCGTACTGACCCGCTACTGAAACAAGCCCTTTTATCCCAATGGTCTAGTGGTTGGGATTCTGACATGGTATCAGAGCGGTCTCGGGTTCGAATCCCGGTGTATGCACATGTTGGCCGTTGCCAGTGTGCTCAGACCTGGGCCTCCCAGTGTGGGGGGGTGTCAGTAGAGCTACACGGTGAGATCCCCGATCGATCCTAGGGGGGGTTACATGCGCGTTTGCTTGGGGGGTTATGGGCGCACTGACCCGCTACTGAAACAAGCCCTTTTATCCCAATGGTCTAGTGGTTGGGATTCTGACAGAGGGTCGGGCTGTTGACTTTGAAGTCTAAGTCGATGATCTACAGCTTTTCCTACAGTGCGATAGGAAAGACGGTCTCTCACTGTTCGATCTCACGTCTGGCGCCTCTGCTGCCCCTGCTGCCGATGCTGACAGCACTGTTCGCTCACAGTGGGCCACACGCGATGCTGCTGCCCGTCTTGCTGTGCGTAGTCACCTGCCGTCCACTGAGCGCGCACACTTTAGTCAGTACAAGAGTGCTAAGACCTTGTACGACGCTGTAGTTGTACACTACTCTTCCCTTGCCATTGCTGCCCTTAGCCGACTCATGCTGCCGTACCTGTTCCCTGACCTCGCCGCCTTTCCCACTGTCGCTGACCTCATTACGCACCTTCGCACTAGTGACACCCGCTACCGCGCTGCGCTTCCTGCTGAGTTCTGCGCCAAGAACCCCCCCCCCATGTACATCACCCTCTACTACATAGTCACCCGGCTCCCTGACTCCCTTCGCTCGGTCAGGGACCACTTCCTCTCTGTTTGCCCCACCACACTCACCGTTGACCTCCTCGAGGAGCGCCTCCTAGCAGCTGAGAAGAGTTTAGTCGCTATAGGAGCCTCTCGTGGTGACCCTCGTGCCCCCTTCTTTAAGGGGTGCTCCCCCTCCCCCCTTTTGCCCTCTGTTGCCTCTGCTGCTGCCGTCGACTTCGTTGGCACCGAGTCAGTCGGCGCTGCGTCTGGCCCTAGCGGGAGACGCCGCACCGGCAAGGGCAAGGGGGGCAAGGGAGCTAGAGGGGCTGGTGGGGGCGGTGGAGGTGGCGGTGGAGGCGGCGGAGGGAGTGGGGGTGGCGATGGGAGTGGTGGCGGGGGTGGGGGCTTCGGTGGCGGCGGTGGAGGCAGAGGCGGCAGCGGCGGTGGCGGTGGGAGCGGAGGAGGAGGCGGTGGCGGCGGTGGCGGAGGTGGCGGCGGCGGAGGTGGAGCTGGTCGGGGTGGCTCTGCGCAACGGAGCGGCTTCGGTGGTGGTCACCGCCAGCAGCAGGAGCGCACTCGTGACACCCCGCCCCCCCCCAGCAGCTTCGTGAGTGGTACGCTGAGCGTCAGCGGGGTGGGGGTGCTGGTCCTTGTGCTACGTCCTGCGTACCGGCGACCGCACTGGTGAGCAGTGCGGTGGCCCGCACACCACCCAGCGCTGCTTCGGCCGCCTGACGGACGCTTGGCGTCTCCGGTTCCCTAACGCCACTGAGATCCCCCGCTGGGGTGAGCTGCTTAGGTCGGGGGTTGTTATCTTTGATCTGGATTATGATGCTATTCTTGCTGCCATGTATGTTGTGTCTACTAGTGATGAGGGTGACTATTACCTGTGTGTCCCGCCTAACCTGGGCATTGACGCTGCTGCTCTAGGTGCTGGTGAGGCTGCTGCTCTAGGTACTAGTGCGTCTGCTGCCCCAGGTACTGGTGAGTCTGCTCTCTCAGGTACCACGTCGGCTCAGGCCTTACACACCTTCACCCTTGACTCGGGTGCTTCCCGCTCCTTCTTTCGAGACCGCACCACGCTTACGCCGCTTAGTCGGCCAGTTGCGGTCTCCCTGGCGGACCCCTCCGGGGGTCCTGTCCTTGCCCGCTTCTCCACTGTCTTACCGTGTCCGGCGGCCCCCTCTAGCACCCTGTCCGGTCTCTACCTCCCCTTGTTCTCTACAAACTTGGTGAGTGGTGCTGATCTATAGAATGAGGGGGTTGACCAGTTCACTCCTGCGAGTCAGCGGGTGACCCACTGTACGTGTGCTCGGACGGGCCGATACTTGGCCACGTTTACCCGTCACCCGGGGTCGAGCCTGTACACACTGACTACTGAGTCTCCTCCAGTTGCTGAGTCTGGTCAGGTAGCTGCGTCGGGTCAGGTGTTTGTTGCAGCGTCCAGGTCTGGTCCTGAGTCTTCCCTGTGCTCGTGTCGTCTCCTGTCCCACCGGACCCTCCTCTGGCACCACCACCTTGGTCACCCCTCCCTGCCTCGTCTCCGAGGCATGGCCTCTCGGTACCTTGTCTCCGGTCTCCCCCGGTCCCTCCCTCCCCTCCCTCCGGGGCCTGCCCCTACCTGCATTCCCTGCGTCGAGGGGCGGCAGCACGCCTCTCCTCACTCCTCCGAGTTTCCTCCGACAGAGGCTCCACTGCAGACACTTCACCTGGACATGTGGGGCCCCGCCCGCGTCCGTGGCCAGGGTCACGAGCGTTACTTCCTGTTGGTGGTTGACGACTACGCCACTGAGGTGTTGATCAACTCGATCCGCGCAGCTCGTCTCCAGCTTGGAGAGAGTTTTGACTCGGACTTTTCCTGTTCTGCGTCTGCACTCTGACAGAGGCGGAGAGTTTTCCTCTGACTCTCTGCGAGCCTTCTGTCGTGCACAGGGCATCCGCCAGACGTTCACGCTTCCGGCCTCTCCACAGCAAAATGAGATTGCTGAGCGCCGCATTGGCATGGTCATGGACGTCGCTCGTACGTCCATGATCCATGCGGCTGCTCCCCATTTTTTGTGGCCGTTTGCGGTTCGGTACGCAGCGCATCAGATCAACCTTCAGCCCCGGGTCTCCTTGCCGGAAACCTCCCCCACCTTGCGGTGGACGGGGAAGGTTGACGATGCGTCTGCGTTTCGTGTCTGGGGATCTCGGGCGTTTGTCCGCGACTTGTCTGCGGACAAGCTTTCCCCCCGTGCTGTTCCCTGCGTCTTCCTTGGCTTCCCCCCCTGACGCGACTGGCTGGCAGTTTTACCACCCCACCTCGCGCCGTGTTCTGTCCTCTCAAGACGTCACGTTTGACGAGTCGGTTCCTTACTACCGTCTCTTCCCCTACCGCACTGCGCCCCTCCCCCCGACGCCGCTCTTCCTTGCGCCAGGTCCCCCCCCGGTAGACCCTCTCCCCCCTCAGGGTCCTGCCGCGTCAGGTGTGTCCCAGGTAGACGCAGACGAGCCTGTCAAGGTAGCTGTTGACTCTGGTGCTGCTAGGGGTGCTGAGCCTTGGGGTGCTGAGTCTGGGTGTGCTGAGCCTCGGGGTGCTGAGCCTGGGGGTGCTGAGCCTGGGGGTGCGGAGCCTGGGGGTGCTGAGCCTGGGGGTGCTGAGCCTGGGGGTGCGGAGCCTGGGGGTGCGGAGCCTGGTGGTGCTGGGGCTGGGGGTGCTGAGCCTGGGGGTGCGGAGCCTGGGGTTGCTGAGCCTGGGGGTGCGGAGCCTCGGGGTACTGGGTCTGCTCGTGTGGCCTCTGGCGGTGCTGGGTCTGGGGGTCCTTCAGGTCCTTCGTCTCGGCGAAAGCTACCCTCTCCACAGGAGCTGCGCGAGTGGTTTGCCCGGCGCTGGAGCCGTGCTACTGGAGCTGGAGGTGCTACTGTTGCTGCTGACCCTGGGGTCGGCGCTGGAGGTATTGGAGACCCTGGTCCTGGAGGTGCTCGTACTGGCGGTACTGGAGCTGCTGGGACTGGGGGTGTTGCTGGGGCTATTGGAGTTGGTCCTGATGGAGGTGCTGCGGGTGGCGCTGGAGGTACTGGAGCTGTTGGGGGTGTTGGCGCTGGAGGTGCTTCTGGCGCTGGTACTTCTCAGGGTGCTGGAAATGGCGCTGCAGGAGCTAGAGGTGTTGCAAGCGCTGGTGCTGCCGCTGGGGGAACTGGTGTTGTCCCTGCTGTTTCAGGAGGCGTTGAGCGGCCGCGGCCGTACTTTGTTCCGCTCCTTGAGCAGGTTCTTAGTCTCTCGCCCTCTCCTGGTCCTGCTCCTCCCTTAGGGTGTCCACAGCCTATCCAGTCGCAGTCACAGTTACAGCCCGCCTCCCCCCTGCCTGCTCCTTCTCCCTACACTTGTCCTACTAGAGGTCTTGCTGAGCGTCGTGAGCCTGCGTCTCGTCCTGCGTCGCCTGTTCGTGCTGCTCGCACTAGTCGTCATGTTCCGCGTCCGCGTCCTCCTGCTATCCCAGGCACACACCAGATGGCAGTGCGTCCTTCCACTGCTCCTCTGCGTGTCCCGTTGTCTTCTCCAGAGTCCTCTCTTCCTGCTCTTGCTGACCCGGAGTCTGACTCTCTTCGTGCTGCCAGTCCTACTGTCACGCGTCTCCTAGCTACTATTGTGACTGACCCTTCCTTTGAGTCCACTGCTGCGTCTGCCTTAGTTGCTGAGCTTGTCGATTTGCTACTCGCTGTCGTCTAGACTACGCCGCTAGTCTCGTTGCTAAGTCTGAGTCGGTCTGTCCTCCGTCCGTCGGGGGTGATTGTGCTCTTAGCACGGACGTCCTTGAGGACAGACAAGAGGAGTTCCAGTGTTTTGCTGCTGCTTTGCCTCATCTCGTGTCCATGCTGATTGCCCCTGAGGGAGACCCGGATGCACTAGACATCCCGACTCCTCGATCGTACGCTGAGGCGATCGAGGGTCCCTACTCCTCACAGTGGCAGTCAGCCATGGACGCAGAGATGACTTCCTGGAAGTCCACAGGCACCTATGTCGACGAGGTTCCCCCACCTGGGGCGAACATCGTCAATGGCATGTGGATTTTCAGGGTGAAGCGGCCGCCGGGTTCTCCGCCTGTCTTCAAGGCGCGTTACGTGGCTCGAGGCTTCAGACAGCGGCAGGGAGTTGACTACTTTCAGACCTTCTCTCCCACCCCAAAGATGACCACTCTTCGGGTGCTGCTGCACATAGCCGCTCAGCGCGACTACGAGCTTCACTCTCTTGACTTCAGCACAGCTTTCTTGCAGGGCAGCCTGCACGAGGAGATCTGGCTGCGCCGCCCACCTGGCTTCACTGGGTCGTTTCCTCCTGGTACCCAGTGGAGCCTCCGACGGCCAGTCTACGGTCTCCGCCAGGCGCCCCGTGAGTGACACGACACACTGAGGACTACACTTGCGGCTCTTGGCTTTGCTCCTTCTACTACCGACCCGTCGCTGTTTCTGCGCACCGACACCTCTTTGCCGCCGTTCTACATCCTCGTGTATGTCGACAACTTGGTCTTTGCCACAGCTGACACTGCTGGACTCGCCCACGTAAAGTCCGAGCTGCAGAAGAGACACACGTGCACAGACCTGGGTGAACTGCGCAGCTACCTTGGCTTGCAGATCACCCGGGACAGAGCACACCGCACCATTACCCTGACTCAGTCACACATGGTGCAGTAGGTCCTTCAGGGCTTCGAATTCACGTACTCCTCGCCTCAGGCCACTCCTCTGTCTACTCGCCACTCGCCCTCAGCTCTGCCTTCGGATGAGTCCGTAGAGCCGAGTGGCCCGTACCCAGAGCTTGTTGGCTGCCTCATGTACCTGATGACCTGCACTCGGCCTGACCTTGCATACCCTCTTAGCATCTTAGCACGCTATGTTGCTCCTGGGAGACACCGACCAGAGCACATGGCTGCAGCGAAGAGGGTGTTGCACTACTTGTGCAGTACGTCGGGCATGGGGCTAGTGTTTGGAGGGCGGCGTTCAATGGTCCTCACAGGTCACGAAGACGCTTCTTGGGCTGACGATCAGGCTACGCAGCGGTCGTCACAGGGTTACACCTTCAGCCTTGGTTCCGGCTCTGTTTCGTGGTGGTCTACTCGCTCGTCTTCTGTTCTCGGCTCCAGCTGTGAGGCTGAGATCTACGCGGGGACCATGGCTGCACAGAAGTTACGCTGGCTCACCTACCTGCTGACTGCCCTAGGAGAGCCGCCTCGTTCTCCTCCAGTTCTGTACGTAGACAACAAGGCCATGCTGGCCTTGTGTCGGGAGCAAAGACTGGAGCACAGAACGAAGCACATTGCTCTGCGCTACTTCCTTGCTCGTGAGCTGCAGCAGCGTGGTCAGCTGCGCCTTGCTTACGTGGCCTCTCAGGCCAACACTGCTGATATCTTTACCAAGGCACTTCCGCCTTGTGATCATTAGCGTTGCTGTACGATGCTAGGTCTTATGCCTACTTGGCCTCACTTTCTCACTTCTTGACCTTGTTTGTACTGTGATCTATCTATACCTGCGCTTGCTTGTTTACCTTTATATATGAACTTGCATGTGAACTGGCCTTGTGGCCTTGATCTTGTGCTCGGAATGTGTGGTGACGTTGTGATCCACCCTGAGCCTGCTTTGCTTTGCTTGACTGGTCTTGTGACCTCTTGTTCTCCCCCACTTTGCCTATGGGGGTGTGTCAAACTTATATGCTAT